TAAATGCGCGAAAACAACTTGGACGTTCGACGAGAAGCGTGTGTAGCGCGCTAGCGGTTCCCCGCACGGTCATAGAACTCTCTCTCTTTCTCTCTCGTCCGTGAAACTCGTGCCAGTGCCTGGTAGAAGAAGTCCGCGGCTTCGTCTCGCCGCGGAGAAAGCGATGAAAAAGGTTACGCTGTGGTGTAACACCGTGGTGCTCGATTTTTTCTCGTTTCGAACGTGACCCCCGATTCTCCGTTGTGTCGAAAGTTTGTTTCTTATTTGACGACCTTTGTCCGGTTCTATCGCACCGTTCCGGTGCGTCTGAGTGACAGTGAGTGGCAAAGTGGCGAGCTTCGTGTTCCGCGGAGTGCAAAGACGCGAGGCTGCGGACGATTGGCCGCGATCGGCTCCGATCGACTACGTCCGGCCATCTCCGGGGTGTAGGGGGGCTGAAGAAAGGATCGCGAGAGAGCGGCAACGCGAGCGGTGAAAAGTGCAAGTGGAGTGCGGAACGGTGCACACGACGTCTGTTTATACCACTTGATAATACCTCTGTGTGTCAACAGTAGTTCCTGGCGAGCGAGAGTTTCATATCTTTTCTTCTTTCCTCTTCTGTCGCCGACACAACCTCATCTCTTCTCGATCTCGCGGGGGTTGTTCTCAAAAACATGTGAAACAATCTGCCGAAACAACTTTCCCGACATACGCGTCCAACGTACGTAGATCAACGTTTGCTTTGCAAAACGTAACTTCAATCTTCAAACGTGGTCGTGGACGATTTCATCCTATACCAATTGTTGTTGTTGTTGTTGTTGTTGTTGTTGTTTCGTAAAATTCAACGCGACAATCCAACTGAGAATTTGCGCGAACGAAACGATCGTCTACGAAATAATTGCCGACGCGACTATTCTCCTCTTCTTAGGATCGTAATTTTTGTGAAAGTTACTATTCTCGTGACCGATATAGGAACCAGTTACAGCTCGTGTTTCATCTTGATTCACGATGAGTGATTATCATACAACGCTGGTACGAGGGATATATACCGCGTTGGTTGCGTAGAGTTATTTATAAAGAAAACGTTGATCTTTCACTCCTGCGTCACGATTCAAACCCTGTGCGATTCACAATGGAACAACATCGTACATGTAGTTTTCTGCAAAATCACGTGTTTTCTTCGACAATATCGTACATGTAGTTTTCTGCAGAATCACGTGTTTTCCTGAACAACATCGTACATGTAGTTTTCTGCAAAATCACGTGTTTTCTTAAACATCGATATTCTATCACGCGATCGATATCAATCCTGCCAACACTCCTTTGCATTTACCGTGTGAAAAAAAAGAGAGACTCTTAAACGTAGCGTGTACTTGTATCGTTAACGAACTCAAATTTGCATTCCCTGTTTCATCTTTGAATTAATTTTTCATTCATCCAGGAGATCTAAATTACCGTTTTACCGGCCGGTTTCGCTTTCTCCTTCGCTTTCGCTATCGCTACAACTAAACAGACCTACGCTTTATTGCAAAGCCGAGGAAAGCGCAAGAACTACGACAACCAAATGAATTGCGAGTCTTTTGTCAGTGCAGCGTAGCGGTAACTTGTTTCCCTACCGCGTTATTATTATTATTTCCTAACTTTCGCCGATTCGAAACAATGCGTTTAACGTCGGTAACCATGACAATGGTTGTGTTCCACTATTCCTCGGTGTAACGACAAAATAAAGCGTTGGTGGGTACATTTGGAACTACTTCCAGATGTAATTGGAATTGAATGCCGTTGCTCGCAGTTTATTATTTTCTACAAAATTGTACAGTGTTAGTCATCGGTCAATGAAGATATCTATTGTTCTCGAAAATTGAAAGGTTTGTGAAAGCGTCGAAGCAATGATTCATTCGTCACCTACCATTTAAAAACCGGGATTAACAATGAATCGACGTTCGACTCAGTAATATTATTATCGAATATAGGCAGCGTTTCTCTTCGACTGTTTCAAACGAGAACATCGCGGTATCATTTGTAAAAATTCACGAACGTTTTTTTTTTTTATCGTTGAAGAGGACGCTGTTCGATTATTGGCGGGCACATCACAAATACCGAAAACGAAAGTCAATACAGCCAGTAACCACCTGTTACATTCTCTCTGGAAAAAAAAGAATGCACGAGAAAATAACAGTGAAACGAGCGTCATAGCCTAAATTATACTTTCAAGTTTTGTAATATATAATATATAATATATATGTGTGTGTGTGTTTGCAATTGTGCATACCTGAGGAATTTTTGCACACTTGAAAGCTAGATTTTATTAAAGATGCATATTGTTACCGATTGAGTAAAAATCTCAGTTTTTGCTACGTAAAATCTACCATATCGATCGAATTGAATTTTATTGTAAACGCGTATCGGCATTCGAGGAGAGAAATAGAAAAGAATCGTTCGTACTCTCTTGACAAACTGAGCCCCACTCGCTCAACTAAATTAGCACGTGGCGTGTCGACCGAACGAGTTAGGATCGACGGTGTGATACTTTTTATTTCGATCGATGGTTCTGACGACTCGAGGAAGCGCTCACTTTTCAGAATTGGTACCGCGAAACCTATATCCGCGTCTATAAAGTGCAGTGAACGCGAGCGGGTGCAACGAACTTCGTTTTCCCTCTCTTTTGTCCTCTCTCTCTCTCTCTTTCTCTCTCTCTCTCTCTCTCCGCCGTTTTGTCTCCCTCTCTCACGTGCAATCTTCCCCCGTCTCCCCCTCTTCCCCTCTCTCGCGAACGATCACACAAGCACACCGCGTCTCCCGTACCAGAGACACAGGCGTAGCCTCGAATTTTGGACGATGTTCTATCGTCTCTATTCTCGTTTTACAATTACAATTGATTCGTTCATTCATCTTTTAACACGGTGTCGGTACTATTTACTCGACTACTTTGTCGTGTTACGCCAAAAGACATTCATATATTAGTAAAAGCTGTCGAGCTTTGCTATTTAAAAGTGTGCCTCGCGTTCTTCTAGCCCCGATCTAGAGAGAAAGCAAGAACGTACGAGTAATTTTAATTTCGCTTTTAAGGTCGAATTCAAAACAACGTTTCTGACATCTTGGGGGTGATCTCGGAGGGTAATCTTTTCTTTTCTGTGCGAGTGAAAGCACAGAGAATAAATATGTTCCTGCGGTGGAGGAGCGGTGTTTCTCTCTTCAGAAGCAGGCAGCGAAGCGCATAGGAGGCGCGAAAGCGTTAACCCCACCGTGTGGTCACCTTCTATTCTAGTAGTGCGCGTGTAAGCGTGTGCCTGCCTGCCTCTTGCCGAGGGTAAAACGCAGAACGCGAACGGCCATGCACGCGCGTCACACGAAGACCACCGGTGTGGGTCATCTTCGTCGTGGGAGCGGGACCCCACTTTTCACGCGCTCGTCCGAATATCGATCGAAGGCGCGCAGTTGCGAACATTGCAAATGTTTCGCCGGATGGACAATGTTTCAGCGCAATTGTAATTTTGTTTATTTATTTCGAACACTGGTGAATAATTTGTAATTATTGTAATTATTGCCGTAACGAAGATAGAACGTATTCGTTGCGCTCGCTTGTTAAGAGTCCTTTACGCAACTCGACTAATTGCAGTGTTAGTCGATTTGTATAATACAGATGCGTATCGGACGTTTTTTCTTTTTCTTTTTTCTTTTTTCTTTTTTTTTTTTTTTTCCGCGTTAGACATCCTTCAACTCAATGACAATTATTTTCTACGCAAGGTTGACGCCAACGTTGCAAAGCGGAATTTATCAAGTGTCATCGTCGTTGCGACGCGAATGATATTCGAAGTCGAAGCAATAATAATTTTGTTCTGCGATCAATTTCAAATAAATACCATCGGAGAAAAGCAGTAAGAGAACTCTGGAAACTCGAGTATTATTTAATTATCAGTGCAAGGTTTAATTTGACATTGCAAGCTCTCTTATTAATAACATTATAACAGATAAGGTTAACCTCTTGCGCTAGTAACTGGTTCGCGGACCATAACGAGTGACCCAACCGTATATAATAATTCGTCTTCTTTTTTTAATTCATCGACATGTCGCTGGATAGAAATTACTAAGAACTAATAAATTTATTATTTGTTTCGCCTCGGTTACATTTAAATATACTTAAAACTGAGAAAATGTTGCAATTTTGAACCAAATATTCTCGAAGTGCGCTCAACTTCTTGCGCTAGTAACTGGTTCGCGGACCATAACGAGTGACCGAACCGTTTTTCATTCATCGATATATCACTGGATAGAAATTACTAAGAAGCAATAAATTTATTATTTGTTTTGCCTCGGTTACACTTAAATATACTTAAAACTGAAAAAATGTTGCAATTTTGAACCAAATATTCTCGAAGTGCGCTTAACTTCTTGCGCTAGTAACTGGACTCGCGGACCATAACGAGTGACCGAACCGTTTTTTATTCATCGATATATCACTGGATAGAAATTACTAAGAAGCAATAAATTTATTATTTGTTTTGCCTCGGTTACACTTAAATATACTTAAAACTGAGAAAATGTTGCAATTTTGAACCAAATATTCTCGAAGTGCCCTCAACTTCTTGCGCTAGTAAACTGGACTCGCGGACCATAACGAGTGACCGAACCGTATACAATAATTTGTCTCCTTTTTTTAATTCGTCGGTATGTCACTGGATAGAAATTACTAAGAAGTAATAAATGTATTATTTGTTTTGCCTGGGTTATGCTTCGGTATACTTAAAACTGAGAAACTTGTTGCAATTTCGTGTAATAAAAATAGCGCACAGTTTTTAGCGGAAATGGAACTTCAGTTACGATTCTAAAACGATCCCATACATACATACATACTCCTTTATTAATTTAAACAGAAAAGGTTAAAGAATTATCATATGAAAATAACACGCATAACAGTTAAGCGTGTGATACGGTTTTAGCGCAAGGCCAGCTCCTCCAGGCGAGGAGGAGCCGCAATGAAGAAACTGTTTGTTTACGGGAGAAAACACGTTTGTTTGCAGCTTGAACAAGATGCACGCAATGGAGGGCGCGGCTGGAAACGGGAAGAAGGTGGACGACTCGACGGAGAAGACGAGGGACGATGACTCGTCGAGGGCCTCGCCGAAAGTCCCACAGAATCAGCAGAACGGGGCGGCTCTCCCGGAGGAGACCGCCGCCGCGCCGGCCACCATTGAGTGTCTCCGATCAGCGCCGATAAAGAAGGAGTCTCTCTGCGACTCGGAGCCGGAAGTGACCGGCAAGAATCTATCCTCATCGGAGACGATGCAGCAGAAGCCTGTGGCGTCGCGTGGCGCGAAATCGGAAACGGAGGGCGGCGGCAGGAAGCGAAAGTTGACGGACGGGCAGTTGTCGTCGAACGGAAACTCCACGCCGAAGAAGTTCTGCATAGAGCAGAGGGAACAGTACATCTCGTCTTTGGTCGGCTGTGAAAAAGTTACCGCGGAGGAACTCGCTGCCAGGGCTGATCAACTTCGAGCTGAAGTCCAGGTAAATATTATATATATATATATATATATATATATATATATATAGAGTGGCCACCGAGATTACACAGGGTGGTCACTGAAAGATTTTCATGATATGAAACCAAAAGTAACTTTTACAAGTTTTTTATTATTTTATTTGGAAATATAATTGACGGATCTACTTTCATTATTATGTGTGAATTTTTATGGAGTGAAATTTTTTTTTTTATGAATTTTTCAAACTCTTCAGTTTTTCAGTGGCCACCCTATATATATATAAAAGCAACTTAAAAGCAGACTATATATATATATATATATATGTATTGTACTATAAATATAAATAATAAATATAAATATATATATAAAGTGTATATATATTATGTATTTATAGTATAGTATAGTATAGTCTATTTTTATAGTATATATATATATATATAATTTTAGAGTGTTAATATTATATTATAATTATAGTTATATATAGTTTTATAGCATACTATATAATAAAGTAGTATATCATAAAAACAGACTATATATATATATACTTTATATAATACATCTATAGTCTTTTATAGTATAGTATAGTGTAATTCAGTCTGTTTTTAGTTGTTTTCTTGATTAGACCTAACGTTTTTCAAACAATTTCAAAATCGCTTGCCAATATGTGCGCATAGTTTCAATTCTATTTCTAGAGGATATTGAATAAATGTTATGTTTCTATCTATCAAGTACCCGACTATTAGCATACCGATAATATCCATTTTCTTGTTCTTTGCAAACACAGGCATTAGACGAGTTAGCACGTGCCAAAGAAATGGAATGGAACGAGATTCTGAGCATGAGAAAGTTGAAGGAAGAAGCGTACCTGAGGATTGAGAGACGGAGGCAAGTCATGGGATTCATGGAGGGCAATGGACAATTGGCAGACACATTGCCACCAGCCAGTTTGACGCTGGGTCCCGAATGGGAAAGCAGCGGCAACACTACCCCCGTGTCCAAAGAGAAACTGAGCTTCAGCTCCAAGGAGGATCTGCCTGAAGAGAGTTCTCAGGATTCGCCAGCTTTCAAGAGGGAGAAGAGCGCGAAGCAGACGTCGCAGCGTCAGTCGACACCGCCTAAACAAGAGAGAGGAGAGAACGGTCGGAAACAGACAGAGGCGCTCAGTCCAGAGAACAGGCAAATCGGTGAAGGTCGACAAGGTGCGATCGTCGACGTTAGATCTATTATCGCTGATTACAGACTGAGGCATCCCGAAACGGTACCGCGCAGGTAAGCAACAGACCAGGATGCGTTAATATGAGTCAGAGGACAATACAATTAACTACTTTATCCTTGAACAGAATTTGCGTGAGGATTTCAAATTTTCTGTAACAGAAGATTCTTTCTTCGTTCTTGTGAAATTGAGTGATAAACATTGCTTGATTACTAATCATTGCAGGGGTCGAAGAATGAGAAATTCGGTGAACGTCGGCCTCGGAGCTGGTGGAGCCATGGTCGAGACAGGTCACAACGTCGATTCAAGGCCGTCTAGTACAGACTCTTGTAAAAGCAACTCGAACACGGTCGATCCGAACAACTCTATGAGCTTCAAAGATGTACTTGTGCAGTTTGCCAAATTGAGCCAACAGCAAGGTACGTGAACTTGCATGTAAGACGTATATCGAATAAATAACTCTCTTTAATGAATTTCGAGTATCAGGTGAATAATTCGGCCATCCTCGTGCAAAACTGTTACAGGCGAACCCGTAAAAACGCCTCAAAATTACCCGGATGTAACGCTTCACCCTGTCGCGCCATCCCCAGCACCGCAGAATACCCCACCTCAGCAGAGCGGTTCATTGCTTCACGGGATTCTCACGAAATCACAATCTCCGAGACCTACTACATTTTCACCTACTTTAGCTAGATTACTCACCGCACCTGAAAGAGAAAGGAATGCACCCACAGCCGCGTCTATACCGCAGCAAAGTGCGACAACCCAGCACCTTTTGCAGACATATCAAGGCTCCAATCCAGTTTCTATCAGTGACCTCCTATCTTCTTCCAAGGTATTTCATTCTGTTTCTTTTCTTTTTCATAATTTTCGACACCCAGTAGTTCGTATCACACAGATCGGGCTGATATGTTGTAACAATGCTAATACTGTGGCTAATACTTTCAGGCTCGAACTGAAATAACGATAACACCGGTGATCAACACTCCGGTTCAATCTCACGTTGTAAGTGTTCGAATATTTTCGATATTTATTTTTAGAAATACATATACATATATATATTTTTCAATATTTTCGTTTATAGGAGGATGTCGAAGAGGAGTCGGCAGTAATCGAAGATAGAGAGACTCGTATTTCTTCAAGCGGTAGGGATGCCAGAGAGGATAGAGAAAGTCCTCCACGATGCCAAGGATGTCACGACCGTCTAGCACAGTTCGTATGTGCTGGCTGCGGTCATCAGTGGTATTGTAGTCGCGAATGTCAAGTAAGAGGTTGTCTTTTTTTTAAAAAAAAAAAAAAAAAAAAAAAAAAATTGTCTAATAACGAGATTCGATTATGTTACTGACAAAATTAATAATTTTAGGTTGCTGCTTGGGACGAGCATTCGGAAATGTGTTCTGGTTAAGAAGGAAGCGAGCATATATTAATCTAATCGTATTATCAGGTTAAATACCCTTTTAACTTTGAATGAATCTAGTCAAAAAAAAAAAAAAAAAACCGCCAAGAATATGCGTTTTGGGTACGATGAAAGGAATGGAAAAAAAAACATTAAGAGAGCAGCGTATATTTTTAAGGACTTTCTAAATATGTTTACTCTGTAAAGAATAAGTTTTATTTCACGAAGAAAAAGGAGAAATGAGAATTGCCAAATTGATGGCGCTTCTCACGAAAAAAAAAAAAAAAAATGAGTATTTACGACGAGAGTAAAAGAACTTGAGACTTTAGGCACTTCGACGAGGGAAGATTTAGGATTCGTGTTAAAAACGATCGTTGCTTCACTGTAATCACCGCGTTGCTTTTATTCGCTATCAGTACCGAACGATCGTGAGTCTTCACCGAGACGAAATAGAGGATATTAACCCTGCTGAGAAATTAAGCATTTAATATATATCTTCCAAATGGCAAATCTCGTGGGATTTCTAATGTAATAGGAAGAATTGTCCACGTTGGTTAATAAACATTCGTAACATCTTCGTATGTCAGGTATAATTTTTTTTTTTTTTTTTTTCTTAGATCGTAACCAATCGCATGACGTACGTGTACACCGGTCGAAAATTTTTCAATTTTTTTCTTTTCAAAACAAGAGGAAAAAAAAGAAAGCAAGTCGGGAATATCTGGCACGTACGCTTGTAACGAGGAACAAAGCACAAAACTTGTATCTCGCGATGCTGTATATAATTTTATACACGTGTTAGCAGGGTTACTCAGCGTCAAATTTTGAAAAAGTTGGTTAACCGTGTGCCATGCGTAAAATTCGTTTCGTAGCGAGTTTTGTGTTGAACAAACTCGAGCGTTCTTACAACCGCGTTCTCTTTGTTTCACTTTTACTTTTATTTCGTTCCCTTTCATTTTGTATAAGAAGCTAATTACGCCTTGTTCGTTACATCGGAACAATCGTCGCATTTGGTATTTAGAGTGCGAGGCATATTCACGAATATTTCAGCTCTTCTCATATGTCTTATCGCGTTCATTTTTCGAGAAGCACCTAAAAATGCGTATCAATTATCATATTTTGTACTACGTTTGTTACCAACGTATAAATTTAGATTTAACGATGTTAAATCGACTATATTTAATGAAGTTAGTCTTAGCGTAGGTTTAAGCTATTTCTTTTCTCTCGCGACTCGTTCGTTGGTAACATATTTAACACGTTTTGGGTTTATTTTTTCTTTGTTCCTTCTCTCTCTCTCTTTTTTTTTAAATTAGCATGTTACCTAAACGACAATTGTCCCAGGTATAATCTGTAGTCCAAAGTTCCTACAGGTACACACAACATTATATATATTTTTCCCAATTATGAAGCAAAACCAAAATAAAGTTTTTAATCGTATTTCCATGTATTTTCATTATTTCTGTAAAATCTCATGCATTCCGTGAGAGTCCACTCCCCGGTCCTTTTTAACCCTTTCGTTTTAAAATCTAAAACCTATTTCTTCACGGTACATTAATTAAAGTAATTGGCATTGATATAAATAATATGTTCTAATACACAAAATTAAACTAAATAACAAAACTAATAGTGTAACTTGGTGTGATAGTTTTCGAAACAAGAGGAAACGCACAAGCCCACATTACAGTGTTCACACTGATACATGGATTCACGCCTCCGGCCACACATATAACGCATCTTCGTTTTCGATTTTTTTTCCTCGAATGGTATATTGAAGGAAAATGTCTCCCTGTGAGCCTTATGGGATAATTACTTCCTGACCGATGATATTCATGATTCTTGTAATATTTCCTTAATCAACTGAAGGTGAAATTTTGCCATTGAGATTTGTTTTTTTGTTGTGTCCTTATATAGGCAATAAGCGTTCCACATGCAAATATCTATCAAGTGGAAAAAGTATTTGCGATACCATTTTAAACTTTTGCGAGTTACATCAACAGTATTTATCACCATGTCAGATTTATCGATTGCAGCCATTGAATTGTTATAATCTATTACGCATTTCGGCTTTAGAATAAATTCATTTTTTCTTGACTTTTTAGGTACTTGTGCAGATTCTGCGGTATGAATAGTGGAAAGCATATAAAATTCATTTCTATCAGACCATTTCATAGCCAATAGATTTTCAGATGAGCGGAACACTGCCTCCCCTTTTTTTCAATTTATCAGTTATCTTAGGCATATCTTTCCGTCTTCTTTGCACGAGCGTTCGTACCTTTTTCGTGGAGTAGGATAAACAATGTGGGACTGGAAAACCAGTTGTCCAGATAAACAGTATGGCCTTTGTTTAGAAAAGGTTGCAAAAGCGACATTACAATGTTCCCTGGCTTTCCAACATGTTGGTATTCGGTAGCTACAGTAGTACTAGCCCCACAATAAATGATTATATCTTGTACATAACCTGTTTGACAATCACAAAGAAGGAATGACTTTATACCAAACCTACTTCTTTTTCGAAGGAATATACTGTTTAAACGACAGACAGCCTTTGTAGAAGAGCAGACTTTCGTCTATACATAATCGTTGGTATAGCTGAAATGTATTGTTAAATGATGTTCGCAACATTTCCACTACTTCATTTATTTTGTATAAACGATCAGTAGTGTGACCGACTATATCCGTAAAATGCAACATTTTCAATAATGAAAAGTAGCGATCCCTGCACATAATTTCACTGAAAATAAATAAAATATCAATTTATAATTTGCGATGTCGATTTACAGAAATCGTACTTTTCGACAGAACGATTGTGTAGATGGCGTTAATGTAAATTTTGAAGATGTAACGGTCGCTACATGAACCTGGAGTAGGTAAGGCAGAATTCTACCGCAGGTTCACATAAAATTATACACGTAATTCTTTTAACAGTTTTATATATTTTTATCTTTGGCTTCTTATCACAATTGCACTTACAAATTTCTTACAAATCTCTTACCCTTAGTAGCGAACAAACGTAGTAGTACTTATGATAGTGGATATACTAGGAATAGTAGTAGAAATAGAAGGCCTTTTCCTCTTCGCAACCCGGTTTTATAACCTCGGCTTGCAAAGAGGGGGAAAACTCTTTTCCCGCGTTTTTCCTGTTTTCCCGAGTTTTTTATTTTTACTATAAAAACGATGTCGCTGGCTGCTTTATTGGAAACGCACTTTGCGACGGTCTTAGCGGATGTACGTGGCGCTGTTTCGAATTGCGCGGAGGTAGCGGTCGCTACAAGAGCACTAAATGTGAGACAAGGATAGACGTATGTCGCGTGCTCTGAGCAGTTCTTAGTTTCAATTGGACCTACAATCGAGGTATGTATATACTTTGTCTATGTTTATATTTATACCTTGCTCATATGTTTTTATATTAATATTACAAAGTTATTCTACTTTGTATCTGAATGACCGACACTAACTAATATAGAAAATTTTAGTATAATAATTGAGCGTTAAATACTTATTATTTTTAGTATACATATATCTTTGGTTGCAAAAATGACATTTCCACAAACTCATCAAGCTGAATTGATAGCACTAGCAGAATTGGCAGGAGTTTCAGCAGTTCCAGGAGTTTATGCGTAAATTTATACGAGTTATTATTATATCATGTATTTACTCAAGTGTAATAAGTATAACATTCATTAATGGTGAAAAATTTAGAGGATGACATTGTAATTCTATTGATGAAATCATTATATTCTATTGAAATTATTCTTTTAGTATTATAATAGAACTGTTGGCACTCCAAATATCACCAGAGGATATATACATCCTTCTGAAGCAAATATGCCAGCAATCAACAGAGAATCAAAGTGCTGATAACGCAGAATACCTGAAGTAAACATTTACATTAGAAACATCTCTCAGTGATTTTATATTATTTTTCATCAAATCTACAAGTTCCTGAAATCCAAGTTATTTTATAACAATAAGTAGAATAATAATAAAGATACAATGCGTCATTGAATTTGAAAAATATTATAAATAATTAAGGACTTTATTAAATAACATCTAAAGACGTTTACATTAAATATTATTTTAAACATCCTGCCCGTGCTAATTTATCAGCCATTTCATTACCATGAATTCCGACATGACCATTAACATGATTCTGAAATATTGAAGTACAATATAGTATACAATGTGGCCTATAAAACATAGAATTAAGATATCAAGACATAATTATGCATTATTTACCCAAATCACATTCAGAGATTTCAAAGCCTCCTCCATTTCTAACAGTTCAACCTTATTTATAACGGGTGTTTTCTTTGAAGTGACCCATCCATTAGCTTTCCATATCGGCATCCAATCATTTATACAGGAAATGAGAAACTGGGAGTCTGTATTAATCTTTAAATTCTTAATGCCTGCTTTCTTCGCTTGTTTGACAGCTGCAGTTACAGCTTGAATTTCTGCCACGTTGTTAGTTGCCCGGCCAACAACTGCTCTTGACACGTTTCTGCAATGAATATTTTTGAACAATACCCTTACATTGAATCATGCAGTGAACATTAATTGAAAGATGTATTGCAACATACAGAGGATGATTATCACCAAACCAAACACCTATACCAGCGTTTGCATTTATGTTTCCATTTGAGCTACATGCACCATCTGTATATACATTCACATAACCATTGCTATCAATATTAAAGCCTCCACTTGTTTTCTAAAAAAATTGATAATATAATGATTTAAATATATAAAAATCTTTTTAAATATCGTAAAAATCATGCGCGAAACTACACAAGAAGTACTTACTTTCTCTGAACATTCTTCTAAATCTATTACTTTTAATTTTCCTGAACATAATCGTTTATTATCAGTATTTTCATTGCTTTCTACTCGTGGCCTGAAATTAATTTCCAGTTAAAATACGTGTCTTCGCATGATAGACATCAAAATTGTTATACCTTTTAGAAGTTCTAACATTTAATGGACGTTTCGTATCACAGTTTGTACTTGTTGCTGTGTTTTGCTGAATAAAGTTGTGCGCTTCTGCTTCTGTTTGAAATTTTTTGAACACTGGTCCAGAGAAGTGATGTACTTGTCTCTGACATTCATCCCTTATTTAACAAAAATAGCAGAATACTTATGAAATAGATTTAAAACAAGTTTTGTAAATGTGAAAATGCATTACCAGCTATTGTAAATTCCAGGTTTACGACCTTTCGCTACTGCATAATAGTACTTGGTCCCCTTTCCCATATTTCTGAACGTGTTTAAAAGAGATCCAAATCTATTTATTATAATCATTTATTATAATTAATTTCTTTTAAATGTTATTTACAAATTGATCAATAAAGTAATACAATTCCACTATATGAAGTTAAATAAGTCCGAAAAATATTTAAAATCTAAAATGGCGCAATATAGATCTCAAATATAGTAAAGATTTTCATATTGTGTATTTGTACAATATCAAAAACCGAATGGAACAGTCAATGAACTGACACTTATTTTAAAATTCACTTAAATAACATTAAATATTATTTTCTAAGCGTTTGTGAGTTCACTCGTAAATATTATTTATTTTCTCACTTAAATTTGAAAATTTCTTACACTCTTACTTTCTATTTTAATTATTATTTTATTCCAATTGTTGGTAACAATTCCGATGTTTTTTTATTCGTTTTTTTTCCTATTTATCTTTCTAGTTATTTACTCGTGTATCAATACAATTTCAAACAACTTTTTTTCCAGCACTATAACCTATACGTTTGTCATATGTAAGTGCATTATGATACGTATGTAATAAATATATATATGCGTTTGATACTGTTATTATATTATTGAATATTTGAATAGGACAATATTTTTTAGGGAAATGTTTAATTTACATATGTCCAATATGATAAATATCCCAATATAAAAAATACATGTATTAATTTTTAAAATATAACATTACCTATTCTTTTTCGACTATTGAGCGATTTTTACGTTACAAGAATATATTTTAAAAAATTTGTATTACAAAATTTTTACACGTATGATGTCATGAAGATTTTCGAATTTTGAAATAAAACTCTGATCTGAAAAGAAAGAATGCACCATCTGTTTTGCAAATAGATAAATATTACTTAAATGATGGAATTAATTACATACTGCAAAATTTGTTTTTATATTTTTATTTAAAATCATTTATACAATTAATCGAATTGTAATTATTTTTAGAATCAATGTAAAAAATTGACACACTATTTCTATATTTACAATATTATAAGAACATATCCATTACAGTATGACAAGTTCAAAGGTATGTATGTTTCCACAAAATTCATTATCTAGTCCTTAATATTTAAACGCTTTTTTAATGTTAAATACATTTGTGTGTTTATTATTAGAAAGACAGTAGCTGGTTCATGCCATCATTCGAGTGTGAATCTATTAAAGAGACACCAGACGTTAAATGCAGCATTTCATCAGTGTCTGAAACTAGTGTTTCAGACAGATCAAGTGCATATGATATAATTCCAGAAAAGAAGAATGCCAATAGTTTGTCTGCATTGCTGGAAGCTTGCGGACCACAAACTAGTTCTGAATTAGTAGTCAGCAGACAGAAACAAAGAGAAATTTTAGATTGGTTACAGTACAAAGTAAGAAAAGGAAAACCTGCCATATTAATCTTATCTGGTCCATCCGGTTGTGGAAAAACAGCAGCCATAAGAGTTCTTGCAAAAGAAAATGGTTTTAGCATTACAGAATGGATCACTCCAATTGATCAGATTATAGTTGAAAATAGTAATTTCTTTCTCTCTTGAATATTAATAATATCTGATAATAATGAGAATGACGTAATAATTCTAAACTTTCATTCAGACAGAATAACTAGACAAGGAGAAAAATTTGAAGAATTTTTAATTAGAGTTACTCGATATAGTTCAGTTTTAAGTAATCATTCTAGTCGTTTACTTCTTGTAAAAGATTTCCCAAATGTTTTTTATGAAGACAAAGAGAGTTTTTATTCTCTGTTGGGGTAATTGCAATTATTTATTTAATTTTTTGGTGTTCTTCGTTGAAATATAGTTATCGTACAAAATTTTTAGAAGGTATTTTGAAATTGGAAGAGAACCTATAGTCTTTGTATGCACGGAAGGAGGAAGTTTAAAATTGCTTCAGACATTATTTTCTCCTAGTATAAGAGAAAAATTTGGCATTGATTTGATTAAGTAAGTTACTAAACGTAATCATGTTTGCATCATTTTTTCTTTTTTTATTGGATACTTGATATGCAATCATCGTATTATAGTGTAAATTCTGTCACGCAAACTGCAATGAAAAATGCATTGAAGAGAATAGTTAATATTTTAAATTCAACTGCTGGGCATATGTTACACGTCTCGCAACTCAAAGTCAATGAGATATTATCAAATAATATAGGAGATATTAGAAATGCTTTGTTAAATCTTATTTTCATCTCATTAAAAGGTAAATGTGCAGTCAATTATAACAATGAATTTAATTTTTAAATCATATTTTATTAATATCATTCAGTACCTGAAGAACAAGAAAATAAGTGTAATATTCGAGAAGAAAGCTTAGGACTTCTTCATGGTATCGGTCGAGTAATTAATCCAAAGAGTAAGTAGATATTTTATATTTATTAATGTTTGAATATAAAACTTGCTGGTCTTTTTTTAATTAAATAAATTTGTAGGAATCCAAATTGAAAATAATTGGAAATTTGTACATGATCCTGATGAATTGGCAGCCTTTTTTCAATCACAGGCAACAATATTTTTGAATTTTCTTCAAGAAAATTATTTGAATACCATGAGAGACATAGAGAAAGTGGATGTCTGTACAAATATTTTAAGTTTAGCGGATGTTTTGAATTCTGAATGGCGAGTACGTATATTATTTATCGTTTAATTGTAAAAATTGCATGTTTTATCTCATAGAAAATTACTACTGAAATTTGCAGGATTCTAATTTAAATAAAGTCACTTTATCGTTTTGCATCCGAGGTTTAATGGTAACAAATGAAACACCAGTTTCTGGATGGAATCCTGTAAAAAAACCACCAAGTGATCAAATCGATGTGTTAGTATGGAGACGTATGATATATGCTAAACTATGCATAAATACATAAATATAACATTATTTGTGTAGGCAGAGGTGTCTAGCAGCTGTCGAAATTCGATGGTACGAATCCATAATCAATTCGAAATCAAAAAATATATTGGAAGAACCCGTTATCGACATTGAGGAGATTATTGAATAAAATTCATAGAAGTTAGGATAGAAATAAAAAAAGAATACGTCGTGTATATTTATTTATGCTTTATTTTCTACTAAAATCGTATAGATGTAAAACATAATATCAGTAGAAATTGAGTTATACAAATTTGATTAAGATCTTTTATTTTTCGAAATGTTTGTATATATCGTTAAATATTGTTTTATATTATTATTTATCACCTAATATGTAACAATCAGTATTAATCAGCAGAAAAACGAATGTTAGCGGGAATTACATTGATACATACAATAAAAATATATTTTGTGTAATTTATACATTTTAGACGAATGCTTTATTATAAATGTTCCTTGGCAGTTAGACGACAAAACAATTCAATATAAGATGTTTTTATTCAAAATTGTTCGTCATAGCGAGTATTTTATTCAAAACATAAATCTAACTAGTCTAAGTTTTCCTTTATAAATAATTATTAAACGATTACACTTAATTAACACTATATTTGTACATCAATGTAAATTTTGTACGCTCACTAAATATGTTGTAAAATGTCGCTTATAAAATTTCTCCTCTTAACTAAAAATATTTCATAGAAAAAATGCAATAACAAGCAGTCTTCCGCTTCAAACATCTTACACCTTGTATCATCGTTTGTTTCAAAGTATTCAAACAATTTGTATTTTACAGGCAGTCTCGTCTGTTCTAGTTCTTGACAAGACCCAATGATAATTAACTATATACAATAGTATCGATATTGAAATTTCCGAGTATGTAAATCGTATTAAAAAAAAAAAAACATCTGCAACGTGACAAAATTTTCCTAATGATAAAATCGAACATTCTTTGTGTAGTTTATCGATTCATACAAATATTGTTAGGACGAGACCAATATTTGTGTAAGTTGATTTCATAAATGAAATGACTGTTATACGGAAACTACGAATTTGATAGATTTACTTCTTCTATCGTAGAAATAAGATTATCGAGACCAAACAGAAAACCTTCCTCGCGGTTGCCTTGCTCCCATGGTTTCCTGTGTGTTACTCGGTGCCCGTTTGGCAACCCCCGTGTTTTGGCGAAGTCGATTAACCAAACGCCAACTTTATCATTGTCGTAGATCATGAAAATACTACTGCCAATTATCTGAAAAAGTTCAAGTTTAATTAAAAAACGTTAGAAAAGAGACGAAAGACGAAAGAAAGCGGAATATTCCGACAATTTCAACAATCTACACGCATCGAATACGTACTTCGTGAGTTTGAAAGTACTCGGACATCTCGATCTTCGAGCGAAGATTTTTCAGGCGTGCAAGCAGCTTCTCGCGAGTGGTCTCGCGCGTTCCCAGGAACAGTTTCATGGTGTCGAGCACTTCCTGATGCGACTTCACTTTCTTCAGATCGGTGATCGGCGGGCCGCCCGGTAACTTCATAGCCTCGATTCGAAATCCGTGACTACAGGTGGAGCTCTGTTGCTCACGGAACTGCATGTAACGCAATTTAGTCACGGCACGTTGCTCGTGCTCCTGCTCGGTCGGAGCGTCCGGGTCAACAGCGATCATCTTTTGATACAGATCTGACCGAGCGGTTGTCTTCGACACCTCCGACTCGAGGAACGTTCTCGTGCCCATTTTGATGTCCATGACGTGCGGATCGTTAAAACCGAACAGTAAATCCTGCAGTTCGATGAACGTGTCGCCTTTGTACTCCACCTCGCGATAATATCTAAAATGTACGAATAAAACATTTAAAAAACTGATAAATATCTTTCGAGAGCTCATTACATACTGTGTATATCGAAAGATTACATTAATTATAATTAACTTGTATTATTTTTCAGCTATCTGAGGGACAAGTAATCGTCAATTGAACTGCTTCATTTACCTCGGGATGCAATCCCGCAGTTCGTTGTCTTTGCTCAGGGCTTCGTAAACGATTCTCTCCGTATTCTCCGCACCACCAGTTTTTCTCTTCCAAACTGTTCCAGGCCCAGCAGGAGCAAAACCATCCGGATGCCCGGACAATTGGAACCAAGATTTTAATCTATTCTTCAATAAAACGTCGCTGGCTGGGGCTGTCAAATCCAAAGCGTTCTACAAAAAAAAAAAAA